TCATTTATGACATACAAAATGTAAAATATTCTTATGCTCTTAACACTGATAATAATTATTAAAAATGCTGAAACTGTTTGTGATCATACAATGGTGCTTGTGACTGGAACTTTGCTTGTTTTATGATGATGCTTAAAATATAGCTATGCATATGAGATGATAGATGTTAACATGTTTTCTGCTGAAATAATTCTTGGTATATAATATTAATGTATAACTGAGAACTTTTCCTTAACCAGTCCACAGCTTGGTTGAGAAGGAAGAGGAAAATGCCTCATTAAAAATTTGGGGCTCAGCTAACCTGGCAGTCTGTGCCTGCAATGGTCCCTTCCCCAGTGTGGGGCACAAATTAGTGTCCAACATGGATAATATGGCAAAACAGACAGAAGGAGCAACCATCTCTCAGTGGTTAAAAATATGAAACGAGGTTGGGCCAGAAACTTGGAGGTTGAGCGCTGCTGCTGATCAACCCAGCTGTGCACCAGGCCTGCACACTGAAGAACTTATTTTGACTTAATTGCTTCAAGATTTAATATACATGACAGATAACACTGCTATTGTAACATGATTTAGTTTTAATATGGGTTTTGATACTGAAATGTGTAACAATATAGAACTACAAAGATTTAAACAAATATGAGGTACAATTCTTATGACCTTAACTTACAAGATTATGGCAATAACACCACTTCTGTATGGATCTGAGTGCTGAACAGAGAGAACAACAAAAAGGCAGATTGGAAGCTGTGACAATGTGCTTCCTGAGCACTATGTCAGGGTACCAAATGACTGATCTCAGGCATAATGAAGATATGATAAAAAAAGTAAAAGTAAAGGTATCTCTGTAACAGGTCATGGAGGCCCATAGGGTTGTGAGATGCTGAGGTTCCCACATTTTCTAGAAAATCAGCTCATAGATGGAGGCAAGGCTGTCAGCCTTACGGGCTGGCCGCCCTTTACCCCCAAGAATATTCCTGGTACTCATTCCAGTTAGAGGCTGAGTCGACCCCATAGCCAAAGCGAGGCTGGAAGAATCAGTAAATTTAAAAAAAAATCCAATGACCCCATCAGAATTCAATCCCGCTACCTTCCGGCTTGTAGCATAGTGCCTCAACCAACTATGCTACTGCATGAAGTACAAATTGTTGACATAAATTCAAGAATTAAAAATTATCAAATAAAATGGATGAAGAATGGAGCAAAACAGATATCCTAAATTACTCTCAGATTAAAAACCCAGAGAATGTAGAGACCAAGACACCAAAGTAAAAGCTGGAGACAACAGTTTTGAATTTAATAATTACAATTTAAACCCTGAAGCCGAAACCGGCCAGTGGAATGCCAATAATGTAAAATTGAGCATGCAGTTTAAAGTGTACCTCCTAAAGATATATATATATGGTGGAATAATGCACGAGTACAGGAATGCATGCTTATGGACACGTTGAAGTGGTGACATTTCCCACAGCTAGTGTTGGACTAGTCTGTAGCAAACTGACACACCATATTGAAATGTGACGTTTTACAGTCAATAACCACATCAGACATATGACTGTGTGCATCTCTGCTGGTGTTTGGGTGCACATTCATTTTTAAATTTTCATTTATGACTGTATTTATATTAATGGAAATGTAAAACATACAAAAAATAAAATGTCTGATGATATATATCCAATGCCAAAACATGGCACTTTTATTCGATGCATATAAACTTGTTTGATTGAAATAAACAATTCATCTTCATCTTTTTCTTCAACCAATGTAACACAATGGAATGTTTCCATTCAAACTGAACAGAATGGTTATCAATCACAATGTTTATTCTGAGGTATGGATAAAGAAATGTCTGGGGGTGGGGGGGGAGTATTTAAGCCAATTATTCAACATTAACCAAAATACATGTCCTTTGGTTTGCAGACAATAAAGAGGAACACACAAATTTCATTCAGTTGACAAACTGTTTACATTTTATAGGGTTTGTTTTTCTTCATAATGACACTTATTTTATAACCATCTTATAAAATATGTATTTGTACACACACACACTGAGGAGAAAACACAATTCAAAGAAATTATTTAGTGCTCTGAACAATTAACACTTTCGGAAAATGTTACCCCAAAAATCTACTTGGACAGTAGACAATGCTCTGAAAACTATGCTCATCCCATTTCTCCTCCTAAACAAGTTAAATACTATAGGACAGGGTTTCTCAAATTTGTGATAATGCGAACCCCTACAATAATATATATGCACCCTCCCCACGACGTACATTGATGGCAGGCAAACGAATAACTTTACAATCTCTGTACATCTACGTTAAGTAATAAAATGTTCCTGCACAGCCACAAATTAATCTGTGAAATGTTCTGTCAGCTATGGGGATATTTTCCAGGAGCACCTATATTGAATCTCAATGACTTGCCAATAACATATGTGGATTAACTATATTTTATATAATTCTCAAGAATCTGGAGACTCCTCTTTAATAAGTCACAAACCCCAAGAGGGTAATGACCCACAGTTTCAGAAACTGTGTGTAATAGGGTACTAATGAAGAAGCAAGACAAAAAACAGAAGTCTAAAGAGTTATGCATTCATCATTTCTTTTTGTTATCAGAAGCCTGTGCTACTAACAATAAACACTGACTCTTCTGGCACAGCATTTCAGCTCTGTAACAAAGTAGTATCAATCTATGGAGCAGAAACCAGTTATAAAAAGCTCATGTGAGCTTGATTTTATGCATTAATCACAACCAACAGCTCAAAATATTCATCATGTTTATATAATATATATTCATAATACATAAAAATGAATATCATAAATACCATGTAATAAAATAAAGTGTAATGTGTATTAAAATACTCAACATAAAAAATATCGCAACCAGAGCTTGAAAATACTGTCATTCACTTGCCTTAATTGGGTGGATTTTTCAAGCTAATAGGCAGAAACATAACAGTCATTTACATCAACATACAATGTTTTAGTTATCTGCTTTTTTTAAAAACATATATTTATATTAATACCTCTCCATCTCAAATGTCTTACGTCAACAGCAGATAGGCCATATGAAGAAAAGAAAAATGGCATTAATGCATATCTAGAGAAAAATGAGAACACTGCAGCATCTTCACAAGAACATGTATAAGTATCCTTCTTTTGTGGTGATTAGTAGATAAAATTATACTAAAAGTAAAGTAAAAAGTAAAGGTATCTCTGTAACAGGCCATGGAGGCCTACAGGGTTGTGAGATGTCGAGGTTCCCACATTTTATAGACAACTGGCTTATAGATGGCGGTAAGGTTGTCAGCCTTACGCACTGGCCAACCTTTACCCCCAAGAATATTCCTGGTACTCATTTCTGTTAGAGGCTGAGTCAACCCCAGGGACATAGTGAGGCCAGAAGGATTAGGTAAATTGAAGAAATCCACCTCATTGGAATTCGATCCCGCGACCTTCCAGCTCATAGCATAGTGACACCGCCATCTATGAGACTAATGTCTAGAAAATGTGGGAACATCAACATCAAATTATACTAATGTTATTATACTGTGACGTATTTGCGCTATGCAGGACACTCCCTCCCCGGCCAGCGGTGAGCATTGCTGCTGCTACAGTAATAGGCCAGTCAACACCCCGCCCCTCCTGTGGTGGTGACGTGACCAAGGGATGCCATGGTTGCTATGCAGCAGTAAACAACTCCCGACAGCGTTGCTAGGCTATCGGCAAACACGGCGTCGGGCAACAGCGGTACCTATCACGTAACTGTTTTCTGTCTTGTCCGTGCCGAGGCTAAATAAGGAGCAGCGAACACTATTCAGAGTGAGTTTTGTGATCAGGAGTGACACAGTGCAGATCGTGAACACGGAAAGAATACCGGAACATGCGATAATCAGTGATATGTTGTGCGTTCAAGTTCTAAGGTCTCCGATTTTTTTTCTCACACAATAATCATACAAAAAATTTGAAACTTCTGTCACTTTTCAACGTAATCCCCCTGCAGCCGTACACATTTTTCACAACGTCGATGCCA